AATAATAACTGGAATAGTAATGATGATAATATTGATAATAATATTAATAATAATGATAATATTAATGAAAATATTTGTGACAATGATAAATGTATAATAATGAGAAAAGTAGTAATGATAACATTGATAATAATATTGATAATAATGATAATAGTAATGATAATGATCATATTGATAGTAATATTCATGACGATAATGATAATGCCAATAAGAAAATAATTATTGATTGTATTGATAATAATGATAAGGATAATATTGATATAAATAGGACAACAATATTGATAGTATTATTAATGACAATATTGATATCAATGTTGATAATGATAATATTGATGATAATTGTAATGATAATGACAGTAATGATATTGATCATAGTAATAATAATGATATAGTAATATGATAAGGATTATACTAATATTGAAGATAAGTGTAATATGAGTAATAATAATAATGATATTAACGATAATATTTATGACCATGATGATAATGATAACGACAGTGATAGTAATATTAGTGATAATGATAATAGTAATAATAATGATAATGGTAATGATAATAATAATAATAGTAATGGTATTGATAATGCTAATGATAATAATAATAATAATAATGATAATATTAATGAAAATATTAGTGACAATGATAAATGTATAATAAAGAGAAATGAAGTAATGATAACATTGATAATAATATTGATAATAATGATAATAGTAATGATAATGATAATGATAATGATAATGATAATAATAATAATGATAATAATAATAATGATAATAATAATAATAATAATAATGATAATAGTAATGATAATGATAATGATAATGATAATGATAATGATAATAATAATAATGATAATAATAATGATAATAATAATAATGACAATATTAATAATAATAATAATAATGATAATATTAATGAAAATATTAGTGATAATGATAATAGTAATGATAATGATAATGATAATGATAATAATAATAATAATGATAATAGTAATGATAATGATAATGATAATAAAAATGATGGTACTACTCATAAAAAGTATTAATAATAATGTTACTATAAATAATAATGATAGTAATAACAATGATAATGATAATTATTACTGTTAGGCCTACGGTTATTACTATGCTTTAATGATTTTCTTGTTATATTTTATTATTATGACTATTATTATTATCATTTCGTTATTACTGTTTGCATTGTTATTGCC